TGTGCTAAGTTGTAACACAAATCAATGTTTCTACTGGTGCAGTACTTGTCGTCACTTTCTACCCTTCTCCTGCGTGTTGACAAACTGACTCAGAAAAGGAAGACAGAAAGAGAGACAGAGAGAGACAGAGAAAGATTGGAAGAGAGAGTGGGACAGAGAGAGACAAAGAGAAAGAGAGAGAGACAGAAAGACAGAAAGACAGAGAGAGGGAGAAAAGACAAAAATAGAGGTGATCAATAGCGTAAGATGCTCCTTATCACATGCTAAACAGGAAGCATAGGAATAGACGGTCCTGATAATAAAACTGAAAGGGTACTGTACGTGACATGCCTATAGATATCAGGGCATGATAGCTACATCGTGACAACGAGAACTTGATTCGTCACTCAATTGAAAAGTTAAAAGGAAAATTGTTACAAATTATGACTAACTTAACTGTACACCAACGTACAATGATCATATAAACAGATCATATAACTGTTACAGGCAGCAAGTGTGACAAAAGGACCGCGTAGGACATGATGTTTGGAAACAGTGTTTTCTTGCACAGTTTACACGGCACTAGGCTCTGGCCGATTATGACCGCGAAATCATGGAAATATTCTTATATGGATGCTCGCTTTATGCTCACAAAATCTTCACATTATGCTTTAGCATGGTGGATGCTTATTCATTTTCCTGTACGTATGGAGGCTCAAAGTTTGGAACAGTGTGCGTTTTTGTATTTGGAAGTGGTGCATGGCCAAAACCAGCACAACAAAATACGTGAGTATCCCCATGCCAAGGTGCCCATGCAAATCAACATAGAAAAGAGATAACATTACTTCCTCTATTCATTAGTTGACTTCTTTTGTAATAATTATAAGTTTCCATTGTCAATTTAGTTTGGTTCAACTTTGGACATTGTCATGTTCAACTGTCTACATATTGATAGCCGTCATACTCGTCCAACATGTCAACCTCACCCTGCGAATGATCTAGCCATCTCTTCCGTAGCTCCCCGTCTCCTTCCATCATGAGATTGACCGGAAATCAACTATGCCTCTAAAACTGAGAGGTTCTACGCTTTCCATTATAGTGCTGAGTACCGAAAGTCAGAGCTAGTTCAAACAATAATAAGAGGATGAAAAGTGTTTAACTCCGAGTCTCCGGTCTGAAAATAACCAGATTACAAGGGCGGACAAAACAGAGAGCTACGTCCTCAATCAGCAAGAACTATACATGAGCAGATAGTAAAACACCAATTCTAGCACTGAGGACATGTCCCGATGATCATTTACGGGTTTTTTTTAATTTTTCCTCTTCATTATGATGAAATATTTTGGTTTTTCACGGCTGAGCGTAGCGAAAGAGTGCAAAAAACATATTTTTCACTCACAAATATTTCTGTGCATTTGCTCTTGTTCTGCGCAACAGTGTGTGATTGAGTGTGATTGCTCTGGTAGACCACTACCCCATGTACTGAACAGTCGCTTTGTGAGTGAAAAACAATGTACCTCCAAACTCATACCTGTGCAGGAAAGCTCACCCCTCCGTTACGTCTAGTCAACAATAGACCTTTTGCATTCTGAAAATGTGAATTTTGAGTGAGTGATAGATCCTCACCTTGTGTCGGATTAGCAGTTATTCAATATTCATAACATTGATAATATCTTCCAAAACACTACTAACAGCCTGCAGAAGAACGGTACCTTTGAAAACCTTTGAAATCCTGTTCACCGAGGACAGCATACAAAGTCATTCGCTAATGATTGATGCAGTGCATTCTGAAGTGAAGGTCCTACCCTAACTAGCTCGAGAGCAGGATGTATTCACAGTCGCTTCAAAACCAGACTCCGTTGCCCTCGGAGTATCAGTTCTTACTCAGATTCTGTTTGTGCCACAATTGGTGCTCAATTCCATGAGAGCTTCAGATGGTAACAGCAAGTTGCCATGTTCTTGATGTCGAGAGCGTGCTTATACTTGGCACGTATTGCAGGCTGCCGTAAATATAGCAAACCCATTGTTATCAACTAATAATGTTATGGCTTTTGACACACTAGAATACGATATTAAAGTACACAGATTTAAACCATTCTACATCCGTGGTTTTTGGTCACTGCGTGAAGTTCGAAGTAGTGGTTGCGACTTCGGCGATGATTTGTAAGAAAGGGTTTGTTCCCCACACTAGAGCTCGCGCTATTCCGCCGACTTTACTTGACACTATACTTACTGACGACTGCCACCCAGAGCACACGAGAAGTCCATTGAAAATTCGACTTGGCAAACCTGCAAGAAAGCACCACTCCCTGCTCAATACACAGTGTTTCGGGGAATTCACCCCTCATCAGTTGAGCTTGAGTAGGCTGAGGAAGATTGTGCCTGAAGAGCACCACTTATATATTGCTCTCCAGGCACAAACATCACGAGGGATACAAACTTACAGAGACGCTCCATTTCCAGCGCGACAAACACCTCCTGAACACCAGATAGCAGCGTGAGTCAGTGTCGCTCCTGGACGGTGAGACCAGACGTTGAGGACCCTCGGTCATTCGCAACGCTGTCACCTCGAAACCAACTAGTCGCAAGCCCGCGCTGGGCACAACAGTAAGAAGTAGTGGTTGCGACTTCGGCGATGATTTGTAAGAAAGGAGGGGAGGGGCACAATCTTCCTCAGCCTTCTCAAGCTCAACTGATGAGGGGTTAAATCCCCGAAACACTGTGTATTGACCAGGGAGTGGTGCTTTCTTGCAGTTTTGCCGAGTCGAAGGTTCGATGGCCTTGTCGTGTGCTCTGGATGGCAGTCGTGAGTCAGTCAAGTGCGTGAAGTTGTTACGAGTAATATTGGCTGTGCTATGCATATTCACTTCCAGAGTTGCTGCAGTTCTGTGAGAAATGGAAGATTTTGAGGAGTCGATGTCTGACGGCAGTGTGGATTCGAATGAACTACCACCAATGCCGCCATTGATGAAATCGAAGAGAAATAAGCTCAACCAAACTTCTAGAGAGCATGGTCCATCGTGTGTTCCACCATCTCCTGCGTCTAACCTTTAAGAGGAAAACATGGAGAAAGCGTCGTGTATGAGATCTGGTTCACTGGAAAACAGAGAGGACACGAATAACACACCCCATGAGTTTACCGGTGGCCTAATTCCTGTTTCTCCTCCGCCATTGATAAAGCTGACGAGGACCACAATTCATTCAGGCAGCATTTCTAACCGTCAGCCAGCTTTAGAACAGACATTTCAAACAGAAGACGAAAGCGAAAATGATGAATCAACAACTAGTATGCCGCCTGAATTGGAAGACGTTGAGAATCGGACTTCTGCATTCAGCGTGTATAGTGAGCCTGTACCGATTGTGAAACCTCCTGCTCACATTTAAAAGGACTCCTGAACTCCAGCCACAGCGTCAAATACCGGAGTTTCTGTTGGAAGGCTGCGAGAAACATCGGAGGGACCTGATGCGTTAGAAATGCCGGTTGGAAGCAGGCGTCCTATCCGACAAAATTCTGACTCTTCTAATGTTATGGATCAGAAGCAGGATCAGTGCAAGCGTTCTAAGTGTAAGACATTACAAAGGTGTCAGGTTTGCCCAAAGGAGCTCAAGCACGTTTCTGACCTCCGCAAGCATGAACGTAGTCATACTGGAAATCGACCCTTCAAGTCTGATGTATGCGGGATGTCTTTCGCGAAGTCATATTATCTACGTATTCATAAACGTACTCATACTGGAGAGAGACCGCACAAGTGTAAGACATGTCGCACATTGTTCACGCATTCGTCTAATTTACGCAGACATGAACGTATCCATTCAGCATAAAGACCTTTTACGTGCAAGACATGTGTAAGGTCATCGACACAGTCATCCTAACTACATGACCATGAACGTACTATTCATACAGGAGAACGTCCATATAGGTGCAAAGAGTGCGCAAAGTTCTTCAGAACATCATCATGTTACCGTAGACACAAGTGTTATCATAACATAAAGTGAACTGCCAAAATATCGTTAGATAGTGTTTTAATATTGTGTGAAAATATCATTCTTCTCTTCGTGCCCATTAATTCTCCGAACAAGAGAGAGATAGTGTGTCTGTGTATTTACTGTTAGAAAAATAATATACATTCGCACCACTTTGAAAAAGTTCACTCTTTAATGCTATTCATGCAAGTCTGTGATCGTAGCCGCACACGCGATAGACTATGATAGTACAGAATTGCACGCTGAGGTGGATCGGGTTGTTCAGTATTTCTGTTCTATTCCATGGTCTCGTTCTCATGTATTATGTCAGAAAATTACAGTACTTATCTAGGATAACCTTTGATCTCAGAACTTTTTACTTTATCTAGATCGTAGATATGTGCGAAAGCTATGTTGACTTTTAGGAGAGCATGTCTGAGGACGTCTGAGGAGACCAGCTAATAATGTGGAAAAGAATCTCTCCCATTTCGCATAAATTATGCAAGCACGTTTCCGTAGGGTGTAGATCGACTGTGCAAAGCCGCCTTGGAAAGGTGTCTGAAGGGAGCTTTTTGCGTTTTCTTGAATTTTTTTAAATATCTCCACTCCACCATGCTGAAATAGAATGTAGATCCAAACACATACTTCGAAGTACCTTTGCAGGAAAGCTCATCCCTCCGCTACGTCTAGTCGGCAATAGACCTTTCGCATTCTGAAAAGAAATTTTTTGGTGGGTGATAGATCCTTTACTTGTGTCAGAATGGCAGTTCAGCGCTGAAAAACAACGTGTAGTGTTGACACTGACAAAGAACAGTAGGAGTGATCATTTATCACTTAAAACGACAAGATTCTTTTTCGGCAACTAACATCTTCTTTTTGTGCGACAATTGATGCAAAATTATATGACAGGTTTTGATAGCATACGTACAATTGCCACACATTGCAGGCTGCCAGAATTATGGCAAACCCATCTGTTTTTGTTATCAACTAATATTGCTTTTCACGCTTGAGCACGATATTAAAGTGCACAGAGCGAACCAGTCTGAATCCGTAATTTAAAACCACTGCGTGAAGTAGCTACGAGTAATATTGGCTCGGTGTACCATTTCCTTTCCAGAGTTGTTGCAGTTCAGTGAGAAATGGAAGACTTGGAGGAGTCGATGTCTGACTGCAGTGTGGATTGGAATATACTACCACCAATGCCGCCATTGATGAAGTCGAAGAGGAATATGCGCGACCATACTTCTAGAGAGCATGGTCCATCATCCGTTCCACCATATCCTGCGTCCAACCTTTTAGAGAAAAACATGGAGAAAGCGTCGTGTATGAGACCTGCTTCACTGGGAAAGAAAGGGGACACGAGTAACATACCCCCTGAGTATACCAGCAGCCTAGTTCCTGTTCCTACTCCGCTATTGATAAGATGGACGAGGAACAAAATTCACTCAGGCAGCACTTCTAACCGTCGGCCAGCTTTTGAAGAGACATTTCGAACTGCCTACGAAAGCGAACGGGATGAAACAATTTCTAGTACACCTTCTGAAGTGGAAGACGTGGTGAACTGGACGTCAGCGGTCAGCGGGTATGAGAAACGTGCATCGCATGTGAGATCATATCCTCAGTTTGAAGTGGACGCCTTAATTCAAGCCACAGCGTCAAATACTGGAGTGTCCGCTGGAAGAACAACTGAAATATGGGAGAATCCGGATGCGTGTGACATGCCAGTCGGACACAGGCGTCCTATCCGACAAAATTTTGACTCTTCTAAGGCTATGGCTCAGAATCAGGTTTCACAAAAGCGTTCTAAGAATAAGACCTCGCAAAGGTGTCAGTATTGCCAAAAAGAGTTCAAAACAGTATCTCACCTCCGCGTGCATGAACGTGTTCACACTAGAGATCGACCATTCAAGTGTGATGTATGCGGGAAGTCTTTCACTCAGTCATGCAGGCTGTGCGCTCATAAACGTACTCATACTGGAGATCGACCATTCAAGTGTGATGTATGCGGAAAGTCCTTCGCTCAGTCCGGCAATCTCTGTGTTCATAAACGTACTCATACTGGAGATAAACCATTCAAGTGTGATATTTGCGGGAAATCTTTCTCTCAGTCAGGCAGTCTGTGTGTTCATAACCGTACTCATACTGGAGAGAGACCGCACAAGTGTAAGAAATGTGGCACATCGTTCACGCATTTGTCTAGTTTACGCAGACATGAACGTATCCATTCTGCATAAAGACCTTTTACCTGCAAGACATGTGTGAGGTCATCGACACAGTCATCCTAACTACATGACCATGAACATATACATAAAGGAGAACGTCCATATAGGTGCGGAGAGGGCATAGTTCTCCAGAACATCATCAAGTTATCGTAGACACCAGTGTATTTATAACCTACAATGAATAGCCTAAAAGTTGTTAGATAGTGTTTTGTATGGGTGAAAATGTCTTTCTTCTCTTTGCGCTTATGAATCGTAAGAACACGAGAGAAAGAGTGTGTGCGTGTCTGTTTGAAAGATAGTACTTGTATATATTCGCAGCATTTAAAAAAAGAAATCATTCTTTGATGCTTTTCACAGTCCGGTCCTAGCCACACACGCGATAAACAATGATTGTGCCGAATCGCTAGCTGATGTGGATTATGTAGTTCTGTATTTCTGTTCTCTTCCATAGTCTCGTTCTCATGTATTCAGTGAGAAGTTAATAATCTAATTCAAGCATAATTCGATCTGACAAAGTTTAATATATTCAGATCGTAGATTTGTGCGAAGCGTTTGTGGACTTTTAAGAGACAATGTCGTAGACGACCAGACAATGTGTGCAAGTTGATCTCTCCGATTTTCAAATTTGGGAGGTACGTTTCCCTAGGCGGGGGGGGGGGGGGTAGATCGACTGCTAAAAGCCCTTGAAAAGATGTCCGAAGGGAACCGTGAAATAGACATACCCCTAAACATTGCTCAAAACATCACATAATTTATGGGTCTGCAAACGAGACATGCCACAGCGTATAAGACCAAGCTACGAATAAGGCTGCGTTTACACGACAACGATTGAAAACGATTTGCGTTTACACGACAACGAAGTAGGACCTAAACGGAACGAAATCGTTGCGTTTACTACTATCGTTTACACGACAACGCCCGAAAACGATACCTAAACGGAACGAAATGGAAACGCACTTCAAAGTGTTTTGAAACGTTTTCAAAACGTTTTCAAAACGTTTTCGTTCTCGTGTAAACGGTGAAAACAGTGAAAACGATTGGAAACGGAGCGCGGTCATGGGAACCATTCCGCGCGGGACTATATTTCGCGGGAAATACCTGACCTTTGCGACCACCAGCGCGTACCAACTCCAACTAACGTGTTACTTCCCGCCCTTGCGCCAAGCCAGCACGTACTAACTCCAGCCTGCTCGCCCGTTTTCCGTTTTCGTGTGAACGGTTCAAAACGATTTGCCGTTCTCGTGTAAACGGTTTGAAAACGATTCGAGGCCAGCCCGTTTTCGTTCCGTTTCGTTCCGTTTCGTTTCGTTTCGTCTCCGTGTAAACGCAGCCTCAAACTCCATCAAGCCAACATTGTCTCACTTTAGAAAAGTGCATGGTTGGAGCCGCTCCGTTGAGCCACGCAAGCATCGCAGAAGATGAGAGTCATCACACCCTACGGCCACGAATGATCGTCTTCAAAAGAGCCAATTTACAAGGGCGGACAAAATAGAGAGCTACGTCCTCATTTAGCAAGAAGTATTCATTGGTAGATAGTATTTAATACTTTATTCTCCTTTTTAGTCGATATCATGGAAAAAGGCAAATTTTGCCTGTATGGTTTTCGACTCTAGATATACGAACAACAACAAAACAACACGATAGCAGAACACCTCTTCTATCACTTAGGACATGTAGCCCATCCTCTGATGTATATGGATTCCCCCATGCCATATTTGACCTGTAGTTCATGTACTCCCGTACTAGATTTGTACCACAGTTGTATGACCTCGCACCATAACGGCATGCTTGCTTGGCTTGGGAGATACTTCCGTGCTTCATGTGTTTTGCCTCTTCAGTTGTGTTTTCCTTCTCTTCAGATTTGTTTTATAATAAATGTCTTCTTGCTAACTGTAGACATATCATGGCGCAGTGAACTGTTCGTTCCTTGTAGAACTCACCTGTGTGTTTAGTTTCTCGTGCTTTGTGTTTGCACCTCGTTGTGTTGCGCACTGGCCGATTTTTTTTGTAGTTTGTTCGTGATACCAGCATTTGCGTAGGTTGCGACCACGATGTCCGACTCAGACCCTGCTCCTGACATTGTTGCCCTGACCGCGATGTTGGCGGCACAAATGAAGTCCTCAGAGGAGAGGGAACGTAAAATGGCTGACCTGTTCCAACAAACTATACAACAACTGACACAACCAACACAACAACCCGTGCAACCCAGCACCACATCACCAGCTCCAAAGCCTGTCTCTGCGGAGCGACCGATTTTACTGTCGTCCTCGACATTAGCCGACTTCACGGCATGGCAGGAAATGTGGCGAGACTATTATGAGTGCCAGCACCTGTCAGCCCAGAGCCGTGAGACCAGAGTATCCTCGCTGCGGCAAGCTCTTGATGAGGAGCTACGCAGATTTCTCCGCGAGGGTATAATCGTGACTCCACCGAATCCCGATGCGGACGATGTGATTTCTGCAGTCAAGGAATATTTGCGACGGCAGCGCAACCCACTCCTGGATCGTATCGCATTTTACGACAGGTGTCAGTCGAAAGGCGAGTCTTTCGATTCTTTTTACACTTCGTTGAAAGAATTACACACTAGCTGTGATTTTCCGGACGTTGTTTTGTGCTCACAATGTTCAGCACACACACGTAGTACCTGTCGCACAAGCCTGACACGTGTGCGTGCTGACACCCTGCGTGACAGGATTGTCATTGGAATTGGTGACGACGCTACCCGGCACAAGCTATTGTCTGCCAAGGACTTGACCCTGAACGATGCAGTCACAATTTGCCGGGCGGAGGAAGCGGCTACCACGACGAGCAGCAGTATCCCGTCCACCAGCCAGCTCAATGCTGTGCGGCGGTCCGCGTACCAACGCAGTAAGCAACAATCCCGACAGGGACAGCCTGGCAGCAAGATGTCTGCACCTGTATTGCCATCTGCATCCGCTCCCTCTTCAGGAAGCGACACACACAAGAAGTGCCCCAATTGCGGCCGGAGCCCGCACACAAAGTCTAGTTGCCCTGCCAGCGGCAAGAAATGTAATGGCTGTGGCAAGACTGGTCACTTTCTCGCTATGTGTAGGTCGTCGTTACCATCGGACCGGAACGTGAAGCATGTGGGCCAACTGAAGTTGCAGCGTACTCGTCTTGCTGCGCAGCCTATTGTGCGTGTGTCCACCCGTTTAGCCACTGAGGATGAGGCAGTCACGCTACCCTGGGTCCCTGATACTGGCAGTGACGTCGATGCCATTGGCGAGCATCATCTCGAACTGCTTGGCGGGTTCCCCGAGAACCTCGACCATGACCCAGAGTGCGTCCTAGCGGCATCTGGAGAGCAGTTGCAGAACGTCGGCAGTATTCGTGCTTCACTTCAGGTTGGCGAAGTACAACACAGCACCGTAATCCACGTGTACAAGGGTCTGGACGATGCTCTTCTATCACGTTCGTCCTTGAGTGCACTCCAGCTCCTCCCGTCAGATTGGCCTGCACAGTACCCTGCTGCTAATGCTGCCGCGCCACCTAAGATCCGTGCTGTATCAAAGCCGGTTGTCAATCCTAGCTCTGCTGATATCGCTCGTGTTCGCGATGAGCTACTGCAGGAGTTCTCAGACGTGTTTTCCGACACTGGCTTGAAGGCGATGGCAGGTCCTCCGATGGACATCCAACTTCAGCCAGATGCTAAGCCGTCATGTGTCCATACCGCACGCCCGATTCCGTACGCGTTTCGTGACCAGGTCAAGTCACAACTGGACACAATGGTTGTCGATGGCATAATCGAGCCTGTCAGTGAGCCTAGTGAATGGTGTCACCCGATTGTGCTCGTCGACAAGAAAGGTACCACTGAGAAACGCCTCACCGTCGATTTCAAACGATTGAATGACCAAGTCCTGAGACCAGCCCACCCTGTTCGCACCGCTCGCGATGTGGTTTCTGGTATTGGATCGGCACAGTTCCTCACCAAGCTTGATGCAAGGCACGGATACTGGCAAATCTCACTGAGTGAGCAGGCATGTCCAATGACCACATTCATCACCCCATACGGCAGGTATTGTTTCCTACGCAACCCTCAAGGCCTGATTTCCGCCGGGGATGTTTTCAACTGCCGCACTGATGCTGCGTTCGATGCAATCCCGAATTTCGCCAAGGTTGTAGATGATTGCCTGGCCTATGATGACGACTTTGCCTCCCATGTCACCCATGTTCGTGACATCCTGCTGTGTGCTCGACAGCATGGCATTACTCTGAGCCCGTCCAAATTCACCTTTGCGTCACGTCACATCCATTTCTGCGGCTACATTGTCAGTCCAGACGGCTGGGTTGTTGACGATGACAAGGCAGCGGCTATTCGCGATTTTGACATTCCTGCGAACCGCACTGATTTGCGTTCGTTTCTTGGCCTGGTGAACCAGTGTAGCGAGTTCTCACCACACCTCGCCGCCTGAACCACTCCGCTTCGTGGTCTGTTGAAGACGACCCGTGAGTTTGTCTGGGATGCCAACCACACTGTTGCGTTCGAGAAGACCAAGTCTATTCTGCTGTCCCCTCCTATCCTGGCCTTCTACCAGCATGGACACGACCTCCGTCTGGAGACTGATGCCTCTGCACTACGTGGTCTCGGCTTCGTTCTGTGGCAGAAGCAGGATGATAAGTGGCGAATCATCCAGTGTGGCTCCCGCTACCTCTCTGACGCCGAATCTCGCTATGCTGTTGTTGAGCTCGAGATGCTCGCCGTCGTTTGGGCTGTGCATAAGTGCAAGTTGTACTTATCCCGCACCCTATTTGATCTGATCACTGATCACCGTCCGTTGATCCCGATTATCAACGCGTATTCTCTAGATCAGATCGAGAATCCTCGCCTTCTCCGTCTTCGCCTGAAGCTGCAGTCGTTTCAAGTGCACGCTTCCTGGCGAAAAGGCTCTGATCACGCGTTTGCTGATGCGCTGTCTCGCAATCCCGTCGGCATCCCGTCTTCAGATGATGAACTCGGCGAAGCCCCTGCTCTTCATTGCCGCAGCATCCGTGTGTGCATGCTCCGTGATGATGGTCCTCACACCAACCTGAAGTTTGCTGAACTTCGAGCAGCCGCCTCAGCTGATCCAGTCTATCAGTCTCTTGTCAAGTGCGTTCTGCATGGTTTTCCTGCTCGTCAGCGTGATTTGGATGCTCCACTACAACCCTTCTGGAATGGACGTGAACACCTGTCAGTGGACCAGAGCATTGTCATGAAAGGCCAACGCATTCTTGTTCCCTTGGCCATGCGTCAACGTGTTCTCGCTAATCTTCATGCCTCACATCAAGGTCTCGTCCGTACCAAGGCTCGCGCCCGACAGCTCGTGTACTGGCCTGGTCGCACCGCCGACATAGACACCCTTGTCCGTGCCTGTTCCGCGTGTCGAGAATTCCAGTCGTCACAGTCAGCCGAACCACCGATGAATGACCGTCATCCTACTCTGCCGTTCGAGTTTGTGTCCGCTGATCTGTTCTCTTGCCAAGGCTGTGAGTTTCTTGTTTATGTCGACCGTCTGACTGGTTGGCCGTGCGTTGTTCGAACCGGCAGGACCACGTCATCACACGATGTCATCCTCGCTTGTCGTCGTTGGTTCGCCGATCTGGGTGTGCCTGCTGTACTGTGCACCGACGGTGGCCCCCAGTTTGCATCGAAGAAGTTTGCTGACTTCTGTAGCCGTTGGCAAGTGCAACACGTATCCTCTTCCCCGCATTATCCCCAGAGTAATGGACATGCGGAAGCCGCAGTGAAAGCTATGAAGCGCTTGCTGCTCAAGACCTCGTCAAATGGCAATCTCGACACAGATGCATTTCGTCGTGGTCTACTGGAGTGGCGGAATACGCCCGGTCCGTCTGGCAAGAGCCCAGCTGAGCATCTTCTCGGGCATCCACTTCGGTCTTTCGTCATTGCTGAGTGGACGCAGTTTGATTCCTCGTGGTCGACCGTCGCTAGTGAGCGTGAAGAACAGTCACCACCCTCGATACCTGTTTCAGCCAGTACTCCCACCCACCGCTCTCTTCCCGTTCTCCGTTTGGGTTTTCTTGAAAAAACAATTTGAATTTTTCCACTCCACCATGCTGAAATACAATGTACAGCAAAACTCACACCTGTGAAGGAAAGCTCGTCCCTCCGCAACGTCGAGTCAGCAATAGACCTTTTGCATTCTGAAAAGTAATTTTTTTTAGTGATAGATCTTTTACTCGTGTCAGAATGGCAGTTCAGCGCTGAAAAACAACGTGTAGTGTTGGCACTGATAAAGCACAGTAGGAGTGATCATTTGTCACTTAAAACGACAAGATTCTCCCCTGGCAACAAAAATCTTTTTGTGCAGGTCCATGGCAGCTTGAGATGGTGACAGCAAGTTGCTATGTACTTGAAGTGGAGAATATACGTTAAATTGTCACGCATTGCTGGCTGCCACAAATATGGCAAACCTTTTTGTTATTGTTATCAACTAATATGGCTTTTCAGTTTTCACACTAGAACACGAAATTAAAGTGCACAGAGCGAACCATTCTGCATTCGTAATTTTAAATTCATTGCGTGAAGTGGCTACGAGTAATATTGGCTCGGTTATGCATTTTCTCTTCCAGAGTTGGTGCAGTTCAGTGGAAAATGGAAGACTTTGAGGACTCGAAGTCTGACTTAAATAAACTGTCAACAATGCGGACAATGATGAAGTCAAAGATGAATGTGCGCGACCAGAGTTCTAGACAGCATGGTCCACCGTCCGTTCCACCATCTTCAGGGTCAAACATTTGCGAAGCAGACACGGAGAAAGCGTCGTGTATGAGATCAGCTTCATTGGGAAACAGAGAAGGCACGAGCATTATACCCCCTGAATATACCAGTAGCATATTTCCTGTTTCTCCTCCGCCATTGACAAAATGGACAATGAACACAATTCTTTCAGCCAGTATTTCTAATCGTCCACCAGCTTTCAAAAAGACATTTCCAACAGCCGATAAATGCGAAAAGGATAAAGCAACGGCTAGAATGCCGCCTGAATTGGAAGACGTTGAGAACCAGACTTCTGCATTGATCGTGTATCGCCCGTGAAAACATCTCCTCAGATTGAAAAGGACTCCTTAACTCCAGCCCCAGCGTCAAATACTGGAGTTTCTGTCGGAAGGCTTCGTGAAACATCGGAGCAACGTCTTGCGTTTGACATGCCGGTTGGAAGCAGGAGTCCTATTCGTCAAAATTCTGACTCTTCTAATGTTATGGCTCAGAAGCAGGATCAGTGCAAGAGTTCTAAGTGTAAGACATCACAGCTGTGTCAGTTTTGCCAAAGGAGTTCAAGCACGCTTCTGGCCTCCGCAAGCATGAACGTGTTCATACTGGAGATCGGCCATTCAAGTGTAATGTATGCGGGAAATGTTTCACTCAGTCATGGAGTCTATGTGTTCATAAACGTCCTCATACTGGAGATCGCCCTTTTTTCTTTTTTTTTTCTTTTTTTTTTTACTAAGGCCACAGCTTCCAATCATGACATGCAAAGAAGCGGTGCAGCAACGCAGGCATGAATCGTGGACGTGGTGACGGGGTCTGATGTGCTCCACTGACCTAGGGTCTCGGCTTCACTGCACAGCAATCGCGTCGAAAGAAAACGGGGGCTAACAATTATCGGGAGATGGGGGGGGGGAAGAAGAAGAGAAGAAAGAGAGAGAGAGAGAGTAAGTTACATTTATAAAGACAGGTAAGTCTAACAATGAGGAGAGAGAGAGAGAGAGAGAGAGAGAGAGAGAGAGAGTAAGTTACATTTATAAAGACAGGTTAGTCTAACAATGAGGAGAGAGAGAGAGAGGGAGAGAGAGAGAGAGAGAGGAGAGAGAGAGAGAGAGAGAGAGAGAGAGAGAGAGAGAGAGAGAGAGAGAGAGAGAGAGAGAGAGAGAGAGAGAGAGAGAGAGAGAGAGAGAGAGAGAGAGAGAGAGAGCGAGAGAGAGCGAGAGGAGAGAGAGAGAGAGAGAGAGAGAGAGCGAGAGAGAGAGAGAGAGAGAGAGAGGAGAGAGAGAGAGAGAGAGAGAGAGAGAGAGAGAGAGAGAGAGAGAGAGAGAGAGCGAGAGAGCGAGAGAGAGAGAGAGAGAGAGCTGGGAGATAGAAGAGCACCTTTCAAATGTGACGTTTGCGGGATGTGTTTCTCTCAGTCAGGCCATCTATGTGGTCATAAACGCATCCATACCGGAGAGAGACCGCACAAGTGTAAGACATGTGGCACATCGTTCACTCAATCGTGTAATTTACGCACACACGAACGTATTCATATTACATAAAGACTTTTTACGTGCAAGACATGTATAAGGTCATCCACAGAGAGTCATCCCAAATACATGACCATGAACGTATACATACAGGAGAACGTCCATATAGGTGCAGAGAGTGCCGAAAGTTCTTCAGAACATCATCAAGTCTTCGTAGATACAAGTTGTATCATAACATAAAATGAACAGACTAAACGTCGTTAGAAAGTGTTTTACTTTGTGTGAAAATGCCTTTCCTCTCTTTGTACGAATTGTACGAACAAGAGAGAGATAGTGTGTCTGTGTGTTTCTGTTAGAAAAATAATACACATTGGCAACACTTTAAAAAAATTCACTCTTCTTTTCTCACTCACACGTCAGTAGTGCACACATACTCTCACACACACACACACACACACACACACACACACACACACACACACACACACACACACACACACACACACACACACACACACACACACACACACACACACACACACACACACACACCTTTGGACCTTTGGAAAGCCCATCGCCGAAGGCGATGATAGCTATTAGGCGAGGCAGTAGTTCTTGTGTCGGGATAAATCATTCGGACGGCGAAAGTCGCGGCCGCAGACACAGACGAACACTCTTGGTTGGGGCTGGCTTGGTGGCTTCCGACGGCTACGTTCGCGCCAGTCCCTCCGGTCCTGAGCAAGGTGGTACCATTGCGTCTCCGGGATACCGGTCGCACGCAGGTCTGCAGCTGCCACATCTCTCCAACGACGCTTGGGTCCATGGCGGGGCCGCGTGTTAGTGCCCTCCGCAAACAGGATCTGCTTTAGCAACCTGGTGTCGTCCATCCTTGCGAGGTGACCAAGCCATCGCAGGCGATTCGCACGAATGGCCTCCTCCAGCGAGGCTGGCATGCCGCTGCGCTTCGCCAAGTCTTCACTTGACAGGTGTTCCTGCCACTGCTGGTCTCGGGTAACACTCAGGATCGTGCGAACACACTGTCGATGGAACGTGTCCAACCTGCGCAGGAGGGGTGCCTTCAGCGTCCATGTCTCAGAACCATACAGCAGCACTGTAAGGACCACGGCCTGGTAGACCTGACGTCGGATTCCAAGCGACAGACCCGAGTTCCGGAAAATTGGTTGGAGGAGGTTACCAAACGCCCTTGATGCCTTGGCGAGACGAGTTGTGACTTCGGCATCCAGCTCTCCATCGTCGCTGATGGTACTGCCGAGGTAGGTAAAATCGCTGACCACGCCGATCACGTCACCAGCACTCCCAGGCACCACAATATCAGCACGGATGACACTCGGACCGACCGCCAAGAACTTCGTCTTCTGCACACTAACAGTCAGGCCCCAGCCTAACGCACACTGCGTAAATTCCTTCACCATCGTCTCCATGTGCTCGTACGAAGTGGTATACAGGGCAGCATCATCTGCAAATAGCGACTCCGACACGGATAAGTCTGTGAGTCTGTGCTTGGCAGTACGGTCGCCAACCAACTTGCGGCCGATACGATGTTTCATCGGGAAACTAGGCACTGTGGATGTTGAGCGCCAGTGTGCAAGGACGGCAGAGAAGTAGAGGTTGAACAACATCGGAGCCAGGGTGCAACCCTGGCGTAGACCATTCTCCACCCCAAAGCTGTCAGACTGACCACTACCCACGCGAACAGACGCCATCATACCCTCGTGAAGAGACCGGATCACCTGAAGCATGCGCGGAGGCACACCGAGTTTCTGCAGGACCAGCCAAAGCGCTGTTCGGGGGACCGAGTCGTACGCCTTGCGTAGATCCACAAACAAGACGTACAGATCAGATTGATGTTCAATGGCTTTCTCGAGTACTTGGCGGGCAGCAAAGATCATGTCGATGCAGCCCCTACCCTTCCGAAAACCGCACTGAGACTCTGGTAGCCAGTCTTCAGCGAGTGGCTCAAGCCGGTCCTGGAGCATGCGAGCAAACAGTTTGCCCACAACATCGAGCAAGCTGATGCCACGCCAGTTATCGCAGCTATGCCGGTTACCCTTCTTGGGAATGGGGACTATCTCTGCATCACGCCAGTCAGCAGGGACCGATCCAGTTTCCCAAACCCTAACGATGAACTCATGGAGGCGACCCAACAACAGTTCACCACCACAACGTATCAGCTCTGGCAGAATGCCTGATTGACCACTGGCTGTGCCATTCTTCATACGGCGAAGTGCACGTTGGAGCTCCTCGATGCTAGGGACGTCGTCCAGATGTTCACGAAAATCCAATGCAGGCATGCTGTCAACAGTGTGTTGATCAAATTGGCTCTGCGTATTTAACACCATCTCAAAGTGCCGTCCGAAACGAGCACGAACAGCATCCGCATCCTGGATCAAGTTGCCGTTCTCATCCAGCACAGCAGATGTATGCTTTGAAGTTCTGCCCTTCTCAATTTCCTGCAGCTTCCGGATGCACTTCCAGCGAGTGCGCCCATCTTTCTTAGCCTCCTCAGCATCACGCACTACCTCTGATATCCAGTTCTCCTTCGCCATCCGCACAGCCTTTGCCACTGCATGTTGTGCCTGTCGAAAGGCTTTCCAAGTATCAACTGTATCGTTTGACAGCAACGCTTGATGGCAGGTATTCTTGGCATCAATGAGCGGCTCAAGAGTCGAGCTGCTCTCCAAGAACCAGTCTGGTTGAACACGTTTACCAAAACCAATGATGTCAGAGGCAGCAGACGTAACAGCGTCACGGATGCCAGACCACTCTAGATCTATAGACTCCACCGACTCTCTGGGCACTGCAGAATCCCTGGCCAGACGCTCCTGAACACTATCCT